TTGACCAGTTCCATAGCATGTCCCATGCGTGATAAGGGTATCCATTCATTTTCTGAGTCAGGATAGCCCTTCCATTTCACGCAGTACGCATAGCCTCTTCCTTGGCGTCTCGATTTGGTGATCGTTTCTATCTCATATTCTTCTTGTCCGTCTATGAGATCCGGTGGCGGTTTCTGGTGTGACTCGCCGTATTCTTTCGTTCGCGTGTACGGTGTTAGAAGCGATGCATGAAACACAGGATGTATCTTCCATGTCCTGGGTAGTTTCAGCTTGAATGCACCGGTTCCTACTTCGTCTTCTATCTTGAACGGCCCGAATCGCTTTGGTGCCAGCTTGGCTGTTGGGTAATTGTTCTTGAGGTTCTTCCCTTCGAGCCATACTTCGTCGCCTTTCTTGAAGTGCGGTCCTGTGATCCCGTGTATCGATTCTTTCAATTGAATCGAGTCAGACGCTATCTTCATCGCTGCTTGTGCTTCTTGCCGTGCGTCATTTATTTGTTTTATCCTGTCTTCTGCCGACTGCATATTGCCCTGTGCCCTGAAGGCTGTCGGCCATTCCGGTTTCCTGCCATTCAGTATTTCAAACGGCGACTTCTTGGTTATCGCATGCTCTTTGATGTTGTGTGACAGTTCCGCGTATGGTAGTAGCTCTACCCAATTGTTCTGGTTTCGGTTGCAGAACACCCGCAGGTATTGTTCCAGTTCTTGATTCAGTCTTTCGACCGCTCCATTCGTTTGAGGGTGGTATGCCGTGGATAATGCCGACCTGACTCCCATTCCGGTGAGTATACTCTTCATAACTCTTGATGCGAATTGTGGTCCCCTATCCGAGATGATCTTCTTGGATATTTCTCTTTGGCTGAATACTCTTCGCAGTATGATTTCCGCCGTTTCATCCGCATTTATCGTTTTCGTGCACGGTTCTACAATCATGCTCTTGGATAGATGATCTGTGATAACACAGATTGAATCTTTCCCTTTGCATAACGGTAAATCCGTTACAAAGTCGATATTAATGGTGTGAAATGCGTACTCGGGTATCTCCGTCGGGTGTATCGGTTCCTTGGTCGGGTTATTCCTGATTTTCGTTTCTTGACATGTTGCGCATCCGTCGACGTATTTCTTGACAAACGTCGACATTCCTGGCCACCGGTAATTTCGCTGTACTAGTTCCATCGTCTTGTATCTTCCTGGGTGTCCTCCTATCTTCGAGTCGTGGTATTCCTTCACGATGTCTCGTCGTAGTTCTTCGTCTTTCGGTATGTATACTTTTCCTCTGTAAAGGATTATACCGTCTTCGGTGTTCCATTCCTTCATGCCTTTTGCAAGGCTTTCCGATCCTGCAGCTTTGATCGTTTCTATCGCTTTTGTTACTTCTTCGTCGTATTTGTCGTTGCTTCTGATGCGTTGCTCCCAGTCGTCGTCTTCGTTCTTTATTCGTATTTTCCTGATGATCATCCGCTGTTTGTCATCGTGTTGTCTTCTTCCTATAAATCGTGCCTTGAACATCGTCGTCGGTAGGAGTATCACGTCTTTGTTGTCATCTTCTACTCCCATCTTGTGGTCTTCTCGTCTTGATAGTTCGTCGGCCTTGTTCGTCTTTCCGGGCTTGTGCACTAGTTCAAAGTCAAACCTAGTGAGAAACTGCGCCCATCGTGCTTGTCTTCTTGATAGCTTCTGCGATTTCTGAAAGTACTCCAGGTTCTTGTGGTCCGTCCATATTTCAATTTTGTACTTGCATCCTTCTAGGTAATGCCTCCATGCTTCCAGCGAATTGATTATCGCGAGCAGTTCCTTGTCGTGGACATCGTAATTTCGTTCCGTCGGTGTGAGCGATTTTGAAATATATGCAACGGGGTGCCATAGGTCGTCATCCATCAGTTGAGAGAGGACTGCACCATAGGCATAATCCGACGCATCACATTCTATCCTCATTGATCTGTCCGGGTCCGGCATAGCAAGCATTGGTGTCTTGACGAATTGGTTCTTCAGTTCTTCAAATGCCTGCTGGCATTCCTCCGACCAGTTCCATTCTTTATCCTTCTTGGTGAGTTCGTGCAGTGGTCTTGCAATCTTGGAAAATCCTTCAATGAATCGTCGGTAAAAATTGCAGAATCCGATAAACGCTTGTACTTGTTTCACCTTCTGCGGTACCGGCCATTCCATGATTCCCTTCACCTTGACAGGATCCATGGCGATATGCCCTTGCTTGATGATAAGTCCGAGATACTCGATTTCTTCTTTCTCGAATTCGCACTTTTCGGGTTTAACGAAGAGATCGTTTTCTTGAAGTATCTTGAGGACCTTCTTCATCACTTCCTTGTGTTCGTCCTTCGTTTTCGTGAATACCAGAATATCGTCCAGGTATACCGCTACCACTCCTTGGTTAATCAGCGGTTCAAACAGTTCATTCATCATTCGTTGGAATGTTGCTGGCGAGTTGCATAAACCGAAGTACATGACTAACGGTTCATATAGCCCCTTGGGTGTCGAGAATGCGGCTTTCCATTGGTCTCCGTCCTTGATCAGGATGTTGTTGTATCCCCAGCGTAGATCCAGCTTGGAATAGTATTTTGCATCCTTGAGTCGGTCTACCAATTCTTGAATCAATGGTAGTGGAAACGCATCCTTGACCGTGTGTTCGTTCAGGTATCGATAATCTTGTGTCGGTCGCAGCTTCCCATCTTTCTTCCCTACGAAGAAGAACGGTGATGCTTGCGGTGATTTCGATGGCCGTATGTATCCTTTGTCCAGCTGTTCCTTAATCCAGTTGTCCAATTCATTCCGTTCCATGCCAAATAGTGGGTACGCCTTGGCCGATTTCGGTTTGAACGATTCTTTCAGGTTAATCTCGTGGTCCCATGGCTTCGGCTTTGGGAATCGTTCTGATTTCTTCTTGTCGAAAACGTCGAGATATTCATGGTATTCGTCGGGTATCATTTCTTCCGTGGTCTTTTCCTTCTTGTCTTTGCTTGCTTCCTGCGCCAATTTTTGCGCCATGTTCGAGTACTTCCTGTCGTTTCGTTCCTGCAGTTCTTTAATCGTTAGTACCTGCATTTTTCGTACCTTCATTTCTTCTATCGCGTATTGTATCATTTCTTCTTCGTCGTCTTCATCCTCTTGGATGGATACTGGTGCTTCGTATTTCTTGACTTCTTTGTCGGTTCTTAACCGTCGTACCTTTGTCAAAGCTCCCTTGATGTCTTGTATGAGATCATGGTTTGCTTGGATGGTAATGGGCGGTTTCGTGCGGCATTCTTCTGGACACCTCGTCATCTTGATGGTGTACCGTTTCCAATCGATTTCGGGGTTGTGTTCAATCAGCCAGTCCGTTCCTAAGACTACGTCGGTATTCCCGATATCCCCGACGTAGAATCTGTTCTTCTCCTTGTGTATGTTGCCTTGACCGTCATCTATTTCCAGGATGAGGTCCGTCTTGTATTTGCAGACATACGTCGCTTCGTTAAATCCTTGCATCTTGAATGGTTTATCAACGCGATCAAACCATATTGCGTTTTTCAACACAAATTGCTGATTGATGACTAGACCCGTCGCACCGGAGTCTATCAAAACGTTCGCAGCAGCCCTTTTCGTGCCTCGTTGGACGGTTCCTTTTATCTCAATGGAGGGAGCATTCAACCGGTGAATCATCCCAACTTCCATTGTCTCGTCC